CAGTTTTATATTTTATTTGTAAAAGAATAAAGGTTCATTCCATTTGTTACCATTATATTTGTGTCACCTTGCTGAATCAAGACCTGGTAAGAGGCTGAATTCACAGAAGTTTGTCCTTGAACCTCATAAGTCTATCTCAGCAGTAATTTCTGATGCCAGCAATTCTTCTTAGCTGAGTGATGAGTCTACTGGGAGTGGAGATTCTATTAAAACACTCGACTTTGAAAAATACTGTAGTTCATGTTCTCAGGAAATACTTTAGATCCTGGCAGTCTTCTCTTTTAGTGTTTGTAAAAAGACTTTACTGTTTTTCTGACAGTGGACAATGGTTTTTAGAATTTTTTTATTTGTTATTGGCAGTCCATGAAGTCAAGCTATGACCAAGGTAATCATGCTAGTACACCTTATTGTAACTATTCTAAAGAATAATTTAATACAAAGAAGTTCTTCTTAGATCTTACCCAATAATGACATAAATTTGTAGATGATTTTTTTTTCAAGATTTTATTTATTTTATTTATTTATTTGGCAGAGAGAGACACACACAGAGAGGGAATATAGGCAGGGGGAGTAGGAGAGGGAGAAGCAGGCTTCCTGCTGAGCAAGGAGCCCATGCTGGGCTCAGTCTCAGGATCCTGGGATCATGACCTGAGCAGAAGGTAGACACTTAACGACTGAGCCACCCAGGCGCCCCGTATTTAGACTCTTTTTACTCTATATTCTCTCTCCAGGTGACCACATTCATATTCATGCCTCTACCTTTTACTTATCTGGAAATGACTTCCAATCTGTATCTCATACTTAAATATTTGTGACCAGACCTCCATCACTGCATTTATTCTTTTATGCTCTGTAATTACTGGTTTACTCTGTCTCTGAGCAGCCTCTGACTACTCTGTAAGGACTTTCAGGGCAGGGACTTCATTCAGTCTTTTTCTGGCAGCCAGGTATAATGAACAAGCAGAATTTTTTTAATCCTGTCAGTATTTGCTTTTAGGTTTTGTTCATGCTGTTCTGTTTTGGGTTTGCCCTTCTAGAATGTGACCCTTTTGGGGTCTCAGTTTAAACTTGAGGTATATCCCTAGGCAGTTTCACTTTGGCTGGTCTTGAAGTCCAACCTTAAGCTGGCTGCTGAAGTGTCTGATCTACTTTAAGGCTTCCATATGTTGCTGTCTGCTAGGTTTTTGAAATCTTTCCGTGTTTGCACAGTTTAGGGTTGGTAAACTTCTCCAGGGCAAGTTATGTGTGGATCTTTGGGCTTTTTTGTGGTTCTCTTCTCTTTAAGCTGTATTGCCCTCAAGTCCCAGATGCTTTGGCCTTCTCACATTGCGGCCTTTGTCTCCTTAGCCCATTTTGGACTTGGGTTTGCTGTGAATTGACACATATCGTTAAAAAGAAAAAATGTTGAATGTGGACCTCACCTTACTCAATTAACTTTCTCTTAGGGGGAATCATAGCCCTATTAGGTTTGACCTGATTTGTTATTCTCCACTGCCTTTTAATGGTTGTTTTGTGTATTTGTTTTTTATATTGATTTTGGTGAGAGACTGGGTTTGTTTGATATAAGGCATTTTTTTAAAGTCATGGCTGGCTTGGAGCCCATGAGCATGCCTCTTTTAAAAAGTTTGTTATTTTGGGGGCACCTGGGGGGCTCAGTGGGTTAAGGCCTCTGCCTTCAGTTCGGGTCGTGATCCCAGGGTCCTGGGATCGAGCCCATCAGGCTCTCTGCTCAGTAGGGAGACTACTTCCTCACCCCCCACCCCGCCTACTTGTGATCTATGTCTGTTAAATAAATAAATAAATAAAATCTTTAAAAAAAAAAAGTTTGTTATTTTGTTTGTTTTTATTGAGGGCAAAGTTACAAAACAAAATGAACTATTCATAGTATACAATTCTGTGACATTTTGTACATCCACAGTGTTGTGTGTTGTGCATTTTTAATTTATATAAATGACAGTACATTATAGCTCTTGTTCTTTGTCTCATTTTCACCTAACAGTATTTTTAAGAATTTTTCTATATTACTTTTCTATGTATTTATTTTAACAGTTGCACAGTATACATTTCACTTACGCGTACTTGATGGACACCTGTCTCCCAATTCCTCACTACTAGACAGTATTGCAGTTAGTAAGAACTTTATTCTTTTTTTTTTTTTTTTAAGATTTTATTTATTTATTTGACAGAGACACAGTGAAAGAGGGAACATAAGCAGGGGGAGTGGGAGAGGAAGAAGCAGGCTTCCCACTGAGCAGGGAGCCCAATGTGGGGCTAGGTCCCAGAACCCTGGGATCTAGACCTGAACCGAAGGCAGATGCTTAATGACTGAGCAACCCAGGGGCCCCAGTAAGAACTTCGTTCTTGATTCCATTTTCCTCAACCGAATGGATTCAGTAGGGTCCTCTTGTGGAGATTTGATTCCAAAAATTTCTAATTTGATTCATTATCTTAGATCTGCTGGAGGAATTGCCTTTTGGAAATTCTTGGGCTTTTCAGAACCATTCTAGTCTTTAACATTCTCCCTTCAGATCCATTTTGGTACCAGTCTAATTTTTTGAGTAAATCTGAACATCTCTGAACACTGCATTTTGCCAGATAAAGAATTGGTAGCACTGGGCGCCTAGGTGGCTCAGTGGGTTAAGCCTCTGCCTTCAGCTTAGGTCATGGTCTCAGGGTCCTGGGATAGAGGCCCACATCGGGCTCTCTGCTGGAGGGGAACCTGCTACCTCCTCTCTCTCTGCCTGCCTATCTGCCTACTTGTGATCTTTCTCTCTCTGTCAAATAAATAAATAAAATTGTTAGAAAAAAAATAAAAGACTTGGTAGCACTTTATGTTCCATCCTCTTATGTCTTCATGCTTTGTATATACATGTGGGAAAAATTGGATGATTAGAGACTTTCTACTCTCCCTCCTAAGGGTAGTATTCTGCAGTTTACTCAAAGTCTGTGACCTTAGATAATGATAGAATGCATTGTATTTAGTGATTGAGCTCAAAATCTGGGTGTTCCAAACTGCTTTACTGCTTATCAGTTCTATGACTTTGGGCAAGTTACTGAACCTATCAGCCTTGGTTCACATCTCTATGCTGAGAGTAATTGTGGAGTAATTGTTGGGTTAAATTTAAAGAGGATAAGATTATATAGAGGATAGATCATATAGAACACTTATCAAAGTTCTGGCACATGTTAAGAGCATAGTAGTGGTTTGTGTTATTGGTTATTTTGTATAGACTGTAGATGTTATTTTATCTTCCTGTTTCCTTTGAATACTAAATGTATTTTTGTGGTTATACTGCTCATTTGGCACCCCAAAATATGGTACCTTGTATTATTATTAATGAGTTATGTTCTTTTGCTTTGGTTAAGTATAAACTTGTAGAGAACAGAGATTTTCTAGAATCTAGCTGAGTTTGTTTCTCCAAAAGATTAAAGAATGTATTTTCTCTAAGAAATAAATCCATGCATATATAGTCAATTAATTTATGACAAATGGGTCAAGAATACATCATGGAGGAAGGATGGTTTCTTCAATAAATGGTGCTGGGAAAACTGGAGAGCCACATACAAAAGGATGAAATTGGACCACTGTCTTACACCATACAAAAATATTAACTCAAAATGGATTGAAGAACCAAAACCATAAAACTCCTAGAAGAAAGTATAGGTGGTAAGCTCCTTGACATCAGTCTTGGCTATTTTTTGGATCTGACGCCTAAAGCAAAGACATCAAAAGCAAAAATAAACAAGTGGAACTACATTAAGCTAAAAAAACTGCACAGCAAATTAAAAAAAAAAAACTGTACAGCAAAGGAAACTGTTAGCAATATGAAAGGGCAACCTATCAAATGGGAGAAAATATTAGCAAATCATATATTTGATAAGTGGTTAATATCCAGAATACATAAAGAACTTATACAACTGAATAGCAAAAGAACAAACAATCCCATTAAAAAATGGATAGCTCTGAGTAGATATTTTTCCAAAGACATACAGATGGCCAACAGGTATGTGAAAAGATGCTCACCATCACTGATAATGAGGAAATGCAAATCAAAATCACAAAGAGACATCACCTCACACCTGTCAGAATGGCTGTTATCAAAAAGACAAGAAGTAGCAAGTGGAAAAAAGGGAACCCTTGTGCACTGTGGGTGAGAGTGTTAAGTTGGTGCAACCGCTGTGCAAAACAGTATGGAAGTTTCTCAAAAAAAATTAATAGAACTACCATATGATCTAGCAGTTCCATTATAGATATTTGAAGAAAATGAAGACACTAATTCAAAAAGATGGATGCACCCCCCATGTTCATTGCAGCATTATTTATATTAGCCAGGATAATAGAAACAAACTGTCAGTTGATGGATGAAGAAGATGTAATATATATGTGTGTGTGTATGTATATACATATCTATACAATGGAATATTCAGCAATAAAAAGAATGAAATCTTGCCATTTGCAACAACATGGATGGATCTTAAGCTAAGTGAAATTAGAGAAAAGCAAATACTACATGATTTCACTTATATGTGAAATCTAAAAAACAAAACAAATGAACAAACAAGACAAAACTAAATATAAGAAATAGATTGGTGGCTGCTAATCTGTTGGAGGCAGAGGGTTGGGGAGGTGAAATCGATTAAGGGACTCAAAAAGTACAAACATCTGGTTGTAAGTCATGGGGATGTAATGTGCAGCCTAGTGACTATAGTTAATAATAGTTTATTACATATTGGAAAGCTGCTAAAAGTTCTCATCACACAAAAAGTATGTAACTGTATGGTGACCTATTGTGGTGATCACTTTGCAATATATACAAATATCGAATAATGTTTTACACCTGGAACTATGTCAATTATACTCAATAAAAATCTTTTTAAAGAGTAAAAAATAAGAATGTGTCTTTAATCGTTCTCTCTTTTTAAATTTACATTCTCTTCTCAGTTTTGAGAATTAGAAAACATTTGTTATTTCAATTCAAAATTGAACTTTTTTTTTCCAGATAACCATGATGATTACAGAGAATGGTACTGTGCCTTTTGCTTCTTTCGAGGATACAGTGAGCCGGATGCTGTTTGGCTGGCAGCATCAATTTTCAACATGTGAAAAGAAAAGTGAAACAAAATCATCTTTTAATGGTACTGGCTCATCGACCTCAAAACCTATAGCTGATGCTTCAGATACTGTTAAAAAGAAACATACTAAGAAGACGGAGTAAATTTATTTTATGCGCTCTAAAGGCAGAAATTTTTTTTCTTATCTACCTGTCTGATTGTGATAAATATTTCTATGTAAATGATGTGAAATAAAGATTATATATAAGGAATGGAGGTGACAAAAAGAAAGAACTTCTTTCTGTTTGAGGGAGATTGTCTCTTTCTGGATTGTAATTCGTGAGTGTTATGAGTGTATCATGTGAAATTGTTTTCCTAAGTTATATATAAAAGATTCTGTTGTGATTATTTTAATAGTTTTATATTGATAAAGGAGACTAGATTTTTTCCCTAACGTTAGAAAAAGTAAACTTACTATCCTTGCAAAATAATAAAAATTAAAGCCTTTGTTTTATTTAGGTATCTTCATACACATTTTTAATTGAATCCATCTGAGCTTTAGTTCAGCAAAATTAAACTTATGCTTAATATTACTATTATAATTCCTAGATATGGAATACAATTCCTATTTAACTTTGAGAACTGGGAAAAGTAAACCTTACCTAAACCACTTTATATTATGAATGAAAATAAATGACTAGTTTTTATTTCAGATATAAACATTGTATTTTTTAGCCCATATAAAGTGGAAAATATTTGAAATTTATTTAATTTTTTAAACAGTAGTATTTTTCAGCAAGAACAGAGTATTGGTATGAGTCTCAATCTGAAGTCTATTTCATGCCCTTGTTTATAGTGTTCCTTTTTCTCCAGAGAAAATCAGGGGTATAATTTTTAATAAATTACTAAGCCCATGTTTTGCTTTGTAAGTTTCATTTTAGGAGCTTATTTTTTCCTCTCTTAAAACACATTCATTTTAACTGTGAAAGAAATTATTGTCAGCATTTCACATATTCTTAACTTTTTTCTTTTCTTAGCTGGTCTGGATACATTGATGGTAGTATCTTTAATGATTCAGCATTTCAGTTTAAAATATAACAAACATATGCAAATTAGTAAGAGACTTTTCAGTTTTCTAGTTGAATGTCTCTTACTAATTTGTATATGTTTGTTATATTTTAATCTACATGTACGTATATTATTTTATTTTAAATTAAAACTAATTACCCTTATGTGGAAATGCTCAGTTCTAATGAGAATTGTCCTTGAGCATTTGATATTAACCAGCTAACCAAGAAGAAACATAAACTAAAACCTCATATGAAGAATGATGTTAAGTCTGTCCCTATTGGCAAAAAAGAAGAAGAAAGGGTCCTAAGTAATGTTAAACTGTCTTGCTTTATTTCATAGCTTAAAAATCTAGTTACAATTTTAAAACACTGTGAAAAATATGTTTTTTTTCAACCAAGACAATGAATCTACCTGCAAAGAGTTAGTATGTACATAAGTCATTTGGGGATGGCATAGAAGTACTCAAATCACACTGAAGTTAGAAATTAAAAAAAAATGTTTTTTAATATAAACACCAGCAGGGTACAATGCTTTTACTTGTTAAATCAAAAAAGATTTTTTAGGGGGAGGACCTTTGATAGCCTTGGGATGCTAAGAAGTTTAATTTCAGTATTGTATCAGAAAGCATTAAATATTTGGGTTTTGTATTATATTTGATACTCTTGTAGTTAAAAACTTTTCAGAATTAACATGGTACTAATTATTGAATTAGCTTTGAAGTGTGGGTTTAACTGTAGTTGAAATGGTAGGAGTGTTGCTTTACACTTGTATTAAAGACAAATTTATTAAAATAAGTTATTTAGTACCAATGGAGTATTACATTATTTTTATTTTTTTGTTTTATATTTTTCTTGGGTTAGGAGTTCAGAACTCCTCTGGCATTTTGACTGATATACTGCATATACCAATGATTACTGTCTAAATGGAATATTGGCACAAACTTTATTAATTTAGATGTGCATCCTGGAACCTTCAATTCAAGGTTCTTAGAAAAAAGCTACTGGAGAACATGGCTTAGACTTGAAACCTCCCACTCAAAATCTACTCATGTTACCTAGACTAGAGAGTTCACTAGGTTTGCAAAGCAAATTGTTTAGACTTCTTTCCCAACATGTAGCATGTGTGAGGCCTATGGGCCTGTTTCACAGGCCAGTCCTAGGTAGCAGTGAGAAAGTCAAGACCTGGTAGTTCTCTTTAAGTAACAGGAGACAAGATGCTGGTAAGAACATGGGCTGGCTTAGCTCAGTGGTTTCACCTTCTAGTGAAATGTGGCCAAATTAATATCAAACTTTGATTTATCAGATTATTCACTCTTCTTCGCTGAGAGAGTAAGGGGAGGAGAGGGCTCAGATATGTAGAGTAGGTGGATTTCAGTGGAAATTCCAGCTTCCCTCTAGGCAGAGACCAAAAGGTGGATATGAGAGAAGAAGGGAGAGATTCCTCCTCTACTGTATTTCTTTTCCATTTCTTTGAGGCCAGACACTTCATTTAAATCTACCTCAAAGCTCAAAGGGATTGCAGTTGAGTGATATGTTGGAAATGGAATAATGTGTTCAAGAATACTTTCCTTTTCCCCACTGTTCCCTTAGAGTTTACATTCCACTGGTGGAGAGTCTCACAATAAACAAGTGTGTTCTTGTGGTGATACAAAAGGTTATGAATAAATATTAAGGAGGACACAGAATAGAAAGTGAGGGACTTGGGGTGTTTGTTGAAATAGCATTGTTAAAGAAGGCCTTTCTGTTAAAATGGCATTTTAGCAGAGACCTGAAGAACACATGAGGGAGCAGGCCAGGCAGATATCTGGGTAAGTACGAGGGTCATTCGGTTTCTTTACATACTTGAGTTAGATTATGTATTTTTTCCTAAAAAATTTTGAATTTGTTTTTCTTAAGTATGATTTTACTCTTGTGGTTTTTAATATTTTTAATTTGTTTTTATTTTTACATTTTTTTCTCGAGTAAAATTTGCATACAGTGAAGTGTACAGATTGTAAGTGTACACTTAAATAGTTTACAAATCCATTCTCATCAAACTTCTATCAAGATATAGAACATTATCAGCACCTTGGGAAGATCCCTTCCAGTTAAATCTGCCCCCCCGCCCCAAACTATTCTGAATAGAGTAGAATCGAATCAGGCAATATATTCTCTTTTTCATCAGACTGCTTTCATACTCAGCATAATGTTTTTGAGATTCATTCATCTTGTTGCATTTATCAGTAGTTCATCCCTTTTTAATTTCTTATACCACATTTTATTTATCCTTTTGGTGGTCTATTTCTGGTTTGTGATGTTCTGAATAAGCTACTATGACCATTTTTGTATAAGTCTTTTTATGAGCATATGTTTTTATTTCTTTTGGGCAAATATCTAGGAATAGAACTATGTTTAGTTTTATTAAAAAAACTGGTAGACCTTTTTTACAAAGTGGTTGTACGATTTTATACTCCATAACTTTGTATGAGAGTTCCAGTGTTCTACATGCTTACCAAAGATTAGAGTTGTTAAACATGTTAATTTGCCCATTTCCAATGGGTGGTTTGTGGTTTTTTATGTTTGAAATATGTATTTCCCTGGTGATTGATGATATAGAGCACTTTCTTGTGTGGCCATTTGTTTATTTCATCCTGTGAAGCGTCTGTTCAGATCTTCTGTCCATACTTTATTGGGTTTATCTTTTTATTATTAAGTTGTAGGGGTTTTTCTGTATTGTGGATATTGATCCTTTGTCAAATACCTATTTTGCACATATTTCCTTTCTGGTCTGTGGCTTACCTACTCATTTTTATACTGATGTCTTTTAATGAACAGAGGTTTTTAATATTGCAGTGGTCTAATTTCTCAATATTTTATTTTACAGTTACTGCTTTCTGTGTCTTAAACTTTTGCCTACCTCTAGGTTATGAATTATATTTGCCTGAGGAGCTCCAAATAAAGTAATACCTAGCTTTTATTCTAAGAAACACTTAGAAGAGAAATATTTTATGCTATTATGTTAAGCCATAATTTTGTTATTCAGCAAGGCACCCAGGCCTAGTTTAGTTCTGCTTCTTGAAAATCATTGTACACCTCATATGTGTGGTCACTACTTTGTGCTTGTGTTATAGGTCATATATTTTAGGAATTTAGTGCTTTTCTCTAGGTGTCTGTTTAGGGACTGTGGGCACGCTTGACCTTGTTTGATCACAATCCTGAAAATATAGAAGAGATGGTGAATTAGATTGTGATAATAGAAAATATATTTTTTAAAGATTTTATTTATTTGACAGACAGAGATCACAGGTAGGCAGAGAGGCAGGCAGAGAGAGGAGGAAGCAGGCTCCCCGCTGAGCAGAGAGCCTGATGTGAGGCTCGATCCCAGAACCCTGGGATCATGACCTGAGCCGAAGGCAGAGGCTTTAACCCACTGAGCCACCCAGGCACCCTGATAATAGAAAATATTTTAAAAGTGAAATAAATCTCTAAGCTCAGTGTAGGTATAGGATTGTTTGGAAAGCAGTGGTCCATATTGGAATATATAATCTTAGGGCATATTTGCGGACAGAATGTGAACCAGTGATCTGGTATGAAAATCAGTAGACCTTAGGTTAATTTGTGTGGCAGACTGTTAGGTGTTGCATCACAGTACATTTATGTAGTATGCTTAACTGAAGATAAGTATTACTTTCTTCTATGTTTAAGATTTAATTGGGATCAAGAAAAAGTAAATTCATTTGGTGGGATTATTATCAGCAAACAGTAGTTTTGTTAGGGAGGCAGAGAATTGGAGAGCCTTCTGCCTGACAAATTTAATAACTTCATATGTATTTTTACTCCTGTAGAATTATTATATTAGTAAAGAGAATAAAGTTGATAATGGACATTTGTATTTTTTTTTAAAGATTTTATTTATTTATTTGACAGACAGAGATCACAAGTAGGCAGAGAGGCAGGCAGAGAGAAAGGAGGAAGCAGGCTCCCTATTGAGCAGAGAGCCTGATGCGGGGCTTGATCCCAGGAACCTGGGATCATGACCTGAGCTGAAGGCAGAGGCTTTAACCCACTGAGCCACCCAGGCATTTGTATTTTTTATAAACATTTTATCATGACTTATAAATCCATTATAATCAATAAAAATAGACTATAGACTGAAACCTTCCTTGAGAATAATACAAAATTAAATGATTCTGTTTGGGTTTATAAATAGCATTTTTATATTTTTGACATCTTAGCTGTGAGAGGAAGTACATAGTATCTTAATTAAATTTTCAAGGGACATTAGATGTCATGAAAGCCCATAATGACAGGAAAAACTCAAAGGTCTAATAGTTATGTTTGGGAAATGATCGGCTTAAAAACTACAAGTATGCAGCAGGGAAGAATTATATGAGACCTAAACCTAAGGAAATATGTATGTGTTTTGTAATAAACTGTGATTGACAAGAATTAATGAAACATTAACATGTTACAGTCTTTGTTTTGAGCAGCCTGACATTTTGAGGGTTACCTTACTGAGGAAGAGAGAGAGGTTCATGTTAGAGAACAAATAGCAGTCTTTGCCATCACTGCTTACCTAAAAACAATGTCTTGAAAATAATGTATGTGAAAGTGTTTCTAAAATATTATTTCACAGAGAAGAGTCTAGTTAACTTATAGTTGAAACCAGAGTTCTACACAGTTTGCAGGGCAAATAATGTGCCCTAGTCATTCATTTCCCATGTGTAATATTTGAATCTCACAAGTCAGTAAGACTTGAACTTCAGAAGTCTGTTCTCATTATGCTTACCGTGTTTTATTGTTATGGTGCGGTGGTGATGTAATATTACTATGAAGGAGCTGAGTCACTCTGTATGGCATTCTTA